AAAGAAAATCATGCCAGAAGTGAGGTCTTGGTTGCCAGAGTTTAAGCTGTGCACCTTATTTGGGACATAGACATGAATAGACATTAACTAGATTCTTGAGATCATCAACAGAATAAAGTGACTTACGTGAATGACAATGTTGTTTTCTTTAGTTCTGAGTGCTTCAGCCAGTCGACCTTTTTTCTCCTATCAGAACATTAACAGTATAATTTCTGCAAAAGAAAGTAAATACAAACAGAACAAAGTGCAATACTAACCTGATTTATCTCTGCCTCGTCCTTATTGACCTTTGTCACATATTTGTACAGATCTCGGGAGTGGATTCTTTTCACAATGCTTTTTGCCGTCTCAAGATCTGTCCTTTCTACCAATAGACTGTCTGTGGGAGTAAAGGAGGAGAAATGCAAAGGTGTAGGCAACAAAATTCATTATGTATGTCTTCCATTTGTGCCAAATTAAGTCTGTTGTTTTCAGATTCTTGTGGAAAGACTCTTGTGTGTGTGTCTACACTTTGTTGATCAAGTATGGACTCATTTAAAGGTGCATTGTGGAACTGTTGTTCAAGATGTTATTGCTTTGTTTGATTTCACAGGATGGTATTAAACCTTTATATCTTCATAGAGACTAAACCAGGCAAAATTACAGGTCAGATCTGTGGAGAGGTGGCCCCGCCCACACTCAGAATGTTTTTCCTAGGGATTTTTGAGTAGTAAAACCACCAGTAACTGAATAAATCTAAGGTAGACATGTTTGATTTCATACTGCAGAACATTCCACACAGAGCAATGACATCTCCATAGATAAAAGCAGATGACGAACCACCAACCAAAAAGTAACATAGTACACCTTTAGTAGACATAATATATAGTATGTAGTAGTAGTAGTAGTAGTAGTAGTAGTAGTAGTAGTAGTAGTAGTATCCACAGTTCAAAAGACATAGTTTTGGCACAAATGGAATCCCATTTATTATGGTAAATTTGAAGCTTTGATGAAACCTGTGACTTTGGAGTAAATTTCTGCTGGTTTTGCTGTTGCTGCTGTTCCTTCCTTCTCAATATACTCCTTGATAACATCTTCCATCCTGGAGAGTACCACAATTAACTCTATTAACTATCTCAGTCCTGATCATAACCCCACTGTAGGGATTAGGATGTATACTTTTATTGTGCCCATGGGCAAAACACCACATTTTTACAAAATTAAAGCTGTTGTGTAATTGTGTTAGGTGATGTTACAGAGACTTTAGGAATGTGTAATGTGTGAATGTGTAAAACAGTGTGACTGAGGAGAAGGCATGCTATTAAAGCCCTTGAAACACACCGAACACTATAACATAACAAACATGAAACTGTATAAACAGTTGATAAACACAGGTAAGGTAATGTTAAACTAAACAAAGACGAATACTTGCATTAGCTCGATGTTTATGGTCACGTTGTGTGTGTAGGCTTTTGTATGAAGAGCTTCAACGGTGTGAGCCAAGTCATACAAGGTACTCATCGCCTGTTGTGCAGGAAAGAAAAAAAAAGATGATTTAGTTAACTACATTATTACCTGTTCTAAGAAATTACTTTTTAATGTTTTTGATAACACAAGTAAATAAGTATGATTTGTATTGATATAATTTTTAGGCAGGGAGAAAATTAGACTCTGCAGAGCCACCATAGTCAGTGCCCACTATTATACTGGAAAACACTGTTTTCTCACCTTGTCTCTGATGCAGATTTGATTCTTGTCATCAACTTTAAGCACTTTGGCATGTTTGATGAACCGATGATGGTCAAAATTAGTCTTTAGGCCCAGGTGATAGCAATCCCTGTACACATATAATGTAAATATTAAAATGTAAAAAAAAAAAAATAATAAAAGAAAAAAAAAAAAGAAACACAATGATTCATAGAAAGTGTTGCAAAAACACCACCACAAATCTAGTTTGAGGATTAGAGCCTTAAAAAGTACATGCACACAGGTAAGTATATCAAATGAGAGACACACTTAATTTGTAGCAACTGATAATGTATGTAATAATGGCCAATAATCGAATAATGTTTTAATGTTTTTAATAATTTTTATTGCTGCATAGTCATCATCATCATGAGCTGTTGATGCTGAACTAAAAAGTTTGGTTGAGAATACAATCACAGATCAGATCCTGTGACAAACCTCACCTGGCCACTGAGTCAAAGAGTTTCACACCGACTCCATTTCTTTTGTTGCTCACTATGTCGTAGAGGAAGTGCTTCTCCTTTTCCTTGCGGCCTTTTGGTGTCTCCTACAGGTAACACATCATCAGTATGTGGTTTACAGAATGAAGAGCATGGCTCAATTATTCCACGTCACCTGTTCATAGTCAATCCCTTTGATAATTTCTTTAATGAAAGTCTTGTCATCATTTGACAGATCCGTCTGAAGCACAGTTCCTGCGATTTCTTCGAAAAGTTCAGCAGACAGTTCGCTCCTCTGAAACAGAATTTTTGTTCAACAGTTATTAATTTGAGTAATTCACAGTTCTTTTTCTCCATTGGATGAGATGCCTTTGTAATCCTACATGATAGTGTCTATACTGAGTGTATTTAGTCAGGCACCATCATTGTTTGTTATGCTTTGTTTAGAACATTAAGATAATTTATTCTGTGGGCAAATATGAAAATATATCATTTTTACACTCAGGTTTGTTAACTGGGTTATGAAGAATTTATCTGTTTGTGTTTCCACATGGAGAATGGCATCAGGGATGACAGGGTGTTTTGCTAATAGCCTACTTAATATTGATTGGTTTGTTGCTTTTACAGTAAATGCATTTTGTATTGCTGTATATTAGTTTGTGAAATATCAATTATCAAAATCATTAATATAAATTCTGATCTGAGAAACACACCAAAGTTACTGTTTCTGACTTACCTTCCAATCAAGGTCTGGGTTGTGTTTTTTAAAGAAGATTCTGTCAAACACATCTGAAAAAGGTCCGTGTCCTGTAAATATAGAAAATACCAGCTAAATGTGACATCATTGTGTAAGTACTGAACAGAGTAATAGATTTGGCTTTCTCACCAAGGTTATGGCAAAGACCAGCAATTTGCACACAAAGTATGTCCTTGTCATCAATAATTTCTGGTTGATCCTTTTGTAAAGCTTTCAAAAACAGCCCGGCTAAGTGTGCCACTCTGTGAAAATATATAACATAAAAATCTGACCCAGTACCATGGATTTGATCAGACATACCCAAGTGAGTGTTCAAATCTGCTGTGAGATGCTCCTGGGTAAACGAAATAGGCTCCTCCCAGCTGTTTGATGTATCGAAGTCTCTGGAACTGAGGTGTGTCTATGATTTTAACCAGAATAGGATCAAACTCCATATGTCCATGGATAGGATCATTGAACACCTGGTTAAGAACAATATAGTTTGTTTTCACTCACAATGATGACAGTAGTAGTAGTAGTAGTAGTAGTAGTAATAGTAGTAGTAGTAGTAGTAGTAATAATAGTATGAATAGCATGTGTCTGGCTGTAAATATTGTGACAAGTGTCAACTGTGTGTAAAATACCTTTGTTTGTCGTTTGACTTGCTGCAGCTGAGGTGGCCTCTTTGTTCATTAGGGTGTGTAGAAAGAGAAACATTTTAAAGAATATTATCATCACAATTGTTTGGAAATTAGTTGAACTAAACTCAAACTGGTTGCAAATTAGCCTGGGTTTTAAACACTGTGATACACTGTGATTAATCTATGTTTGTTCTATTGTTGTTGTCTGTTCCTATTCAAATAAACAATACAATAAAAATAAAACATTACCGGAGAAAGGTTCAAGTTATTCCTTTGGCACCACTTGTAAAAATTCTTCTGCAAATACATTGTAATTTCTTCACCTACACTGACATTTTCACACTTCATCAAATATCCTTAAAACTAAAGTATTGTTTATTTGCTAAACAGACATTTAAATGACTTTACATATGATTTACATCTGTTGTTTGGTGTATTTTTGGTCATAGCTTAGAGGGTTATGACACATAATAACTCTACAAAACAATCATTTCTTTTCCTTTTTGTTACATAATATATACATGCAAAAATAATAAATACATATTCATTGTGTGTCTTCTGTCGTGCATTGGTCATCGTTGTCGTAACAGTTTATACCAGGGGTGGGCAAAGTTTCTGGCTCACGGGCCACATAGGGTCCTAAAGTTTGATTGAAGGGCCGGACAGAAGACAGGACATAACGTGTTAAGAGCTCAGATTCATTACATTCTTATTCACATTTATCCAGGACTTCAGACGCGCGCTACACGTTTCTGAAAGATTCAGAACATAAATCAATTGAGCCCCGTTCCACTGGACACCAGGAGTGAATATGTATCATGAGTTCACAAATTTCAAATGAGACCGGCAACAGCTTAATAAACATGCTCATGTCACAAACACAGATGCATACCTGTGAGTGTGAAAAACCTGTCTCCAAAATGATGTACATACCAACACTCACAACTTGGACTTCTTAGGTGTCTTCGGTTGATTTTCACTAACTCAAACTGTAAGCAGTGCAGTCTTATATCTTAAGCACCAACTACTTCACTCATGGTCCGAATAACTCCTGTAAGAACACTTTCCCATAAAGCATTGCAGCCAACATAATACGCCGAAACTCAATGTATATATAGTGCGCCATCTACTGGGAAACGCTGGAAATGCATGACAAATAAAACATCAACAAGGTTTATTATTGTAATTTATTCCAGTTCGGGCGGCCGGATTAAAAGGTTTAAAGGGCCGCATACGGCCCCCGGGCCGTAGTTTGCCCACCCCTGGTTTATACTGTTGTCGGGCAGGACTCGTCTCTCAGACTTAAGTTTACCGGCTGAGTCAGGACCATTGTTAAATAATGTGAGTAGTAGTAGTAGTAGTAGTAGTAGTAGTAGTAGTAGTAGTAGTATGAATAGCATGTGTCTGGCTGTAAATATTGTGACAAGTGTCAACTGTGTGTAAAATACCTTTGGTTGTGGATCATCTTTCTGCAGCTGAGGTGGCCTCTTTGTTCATTAGGGTGTGTAGAAAGAGAAACATTTTAAAGAATATTATTATCACAATAGTTTGTAAATTAGTTGAACTAAGCTCAAACTGGTTGCAAATTAGCCTGGGTTTTAAACACTGTGATACACTGTGATTAATCTATGTTTTGTTCTATTGTTGTTGTCTGTTCCTATTCAAATAAACAATACAATAAAAATAAAACATTACCGGAGAAAGGTTCAAGTTATTCCTTTGGCACCACTCGTAAAAATTCCTCTGAGCGACTCTCTGAGTGTTTTCATCCAAGCTCGTACAATAGACACTGATCCATTTCTCAGAAAACTTATGTGGCAAGAGAAACTGAGAAACCTAACAAAAGTATTTTTATATAAACATGAGCACAATTACAGTACAGAAATTAAATAGTAAACATCTGTTGTACTGACCTGCTCACGGGGGACCTTGAATCCTTTCTTATTGTCAAACTTGTTATAGACATTCAGGTTATCCATAGGGTTTTTTTCTTTTTTTCCAAAGTCAAAGGTAGTGACCTGATATACAATATAATATTCTTAATAATAATACAGTGTGTGTTTTTATTTATTTATTTGTAATAATAATTTAACATTTAAAATACTTTGTTTACTTACAATGATTTCAAAATGACTTTCGCTCAGTCGTTCTTCGTCTTTATAAGTGGGCATTGCTGCCAGTTCAGATTTCCATTTTTCTTTCTTTTTGTCCATGCAGAAAAATAAGTAAAAAGTAAGTAAACTCAGCTTGGTGTGGAGGCTCGGGAGCTACCAGTGGCTCTCCACCCCCTTCCATGTAGCTCACCAAGGGATTTCTGAATTATATGTATTGTGCACAGTAAGTTAAATGATTAATTACCATTGTAAATGTATCATTTTGATAACTTGGTGCACTGATAAATGGATAATCGTTAATGTTTATAAGCATCTAACTGTTCCCATCTAAGGCTCATCGTGGCTCTTATATTTACTCAGTTTCTTTACGACTGCTGAAATTGTCAGCTCTCTGGCATTATTATTTTATAAAGGAAGCTCACTGGAGAAAAAGGTTGGAGACCCCTGGTCTTACAGTGCAATTATTGCAGAGAAAAAATATAGAAATTACTTACAATTATTTCAAAGTCATCTTTTTTCTGAAAAATAAACAAAAACTGATAATACAGCTTGGTGTATTACATTGGAGTGATTTAACACAATAGCACACCTTTGTGGCAAGCTCATCTGTCAGTTTAGTCTCTCCTAGACATCTGTACAGTTTCCGAGAATGAATATTTTGTAGTATTTCTCGTGCATCCTTGAGCTCTTCTTCAGTGGAGTAAAGTATTTTTTCAAAGATGCCATCTGAAACACAGACCGTGTACACACACGACCGTCAGTTTAAGGTAAATGAAAATTTGAATGCAGAGGTAAAATGCAAGACAAACCTGTGAGCTCAGTGTACTTCTCCATGTCGCCTATAGCTTCAGAAATCTTGTATGTTTTATCTGCTTTAAGTAAGGCATCTCTGATCCTGGGGTTTATATTATGACCAGATTATGTCTCAACATATATAAAAACAATCTTAACATTATATATACTTACATGAGCTCAGTGACCTTATTGGTTTTGTGCTGGTAGGCCTTTCTGTGGAGAGAACTCCTCATATGGAACATTTCATAAATATTGGGGACCTCCTTAAAATGGCCAAACACAAATATTAGAGCATATTCAGGGTGTTCACAACATGAATTATAATGAATCTGTATTAAAATAACATCTCAAACCTTGTCTCTTGTGCAGATCTGCCATTGACCGTCCACCTCAAGGACTCTGGCAAATGTAATGTAGCGATTGTGGTCAAAGCTGTTCTTAATTCCAAGGTGATGGAAATCTCTGTCCAAGTAGAATCAGATGTTAAGTAATAACGGACATTAATGTGAAGTGTTGTGAACTAGACCAAACCTGGCAAAATAGTCAAACTTGTCCACATCGAGGCCATTCCTTTTGTTTGCGACTATCTCATAGAGGAAAGATTTGTTTGACGGGCGTCCTTTGTAATGTCCCTGTTTGATTTAAACACTTTGTCAGTCGGAAGCAGGCACAATAATACAGATCATGTAATAGTTTACATTTTCTTCTGGCCCGTTAATCATCTCTCTTTGATAAATTCCAGGTCATCACCATCAGTGTTCGGATCCAGCTTGTTCAACTCGGATTTCAGGTCAAAACGATATGTGTCGTGTAGATATTTCACAATGTGATCAAACATCATAACTGATCTTTGCTCATGCTTCTGTGGAAGTATTACTGATTATTACTTCAAAGTAATATTACATTTACATTATCAAATCTGTTCCTTACTTTCATTTCATCCAAAGATTCATTAGATTCATTTTCTAAAGCTTTTGGTATGAACATGTCATCAAACATGTGGGAAAAAGGTCCATGTCCTTTAAAACAAAAAAAAACAAAAACATCCACAAACTCACATAACTGCAGATTATACAGGCTATATTAAATCATTTAATACATTTTCTGAAACAATTAATCAATTGCATATACCTGGTACACATTTGATTAAGTAAGAGAATGCCTATTTCATAAAATGTTTGTTTTTTATTTCTTCCTTTGTGGAAAATGTTACTCACCCAGATCATGGCAGAGACCAGCAATTTCTACACAAAGTATGTCTCTGTCAGTAATACCAAGTTCTGGTTGTTTCTCTCTTAAACTTTGCACAAGCCGTCCTGCTAAATAAGCCACTCTATAAAATGTAAATAAATTTTTTTTAAGTTTTAAATTGCACAATTTCAAGCAGTTTTTTTTTTTTAATCCATTGTGTATGTACCCGAGACAGTGTTCAAATCGGTTGTGAGATGCTCCTGAGTAAACAAAATAGGCCCCTCCCAGCTGTTTGAGGTATCGAAGCCTCTGAAACTGAGGCGTGTCTATGATTTTAACCAGAAAATGGTGAAACTCCATTTGACCGTGGATAGGATCATTGAACACCTGAAGAAGCATAAACAAAAAAGCTGAAATTAACAACAACAGAGAGATTAATTTAATGCTATATAGTATTAAACCTACCTTTGGTTCTGCTGTTGATACTACAGTATCACATGGTGCTGTGGATGAATCTTCTTCAGCAGACTGAAAATACGTATGTGTTTTATTGACAAGGATAATGTAATAACAATAGAAAGAACTGTGCAGTATTTATTTATTTTATTTTTTTTTAAAGTCAGAAATCTGTATCTGTATTGTAGTGTAGAATTGTTTGAAATATATAAGGCCTATGACGTCCTTGTGACCTTGGATGCAGAATTCAGTCTTTTTTTTTTACCTCAGAGTTGGATTGCACTATTTCATTGCACAGAAAAACACTTTGATTTAAGATATACCAGTAAAACACCACAAATCATAACAGCCGACTTAAATTTGACAGCCACACCCATGTTGTTTGTCTGGTTGCTCTTGGGATCTGAGCCGTATGTTTGTTTAATTTTAAAAGGTCTTATAACAATTGTCACAGCTCAGTTCACCTGCAGCCCTCCACCTCTGCACCCACAGCCTTTATTAGTTCATTTAATATTTACTTAACACTTCAAAGTGTCTTCATCCTGTTACACACACACCTACACTGACATTTCCACACTTCATCAAATATCCTTGAAACTAAAATATTGTTTATTTGCTAAACAGACATTTAAATGACTTTACATTTGATTTACATCAGTTGTTTGGTGTATTTTTGGTCATAACTTAGTCCACAGGTGTCAAACATAAGGCCCGGGGGCTGGATCCGGCCCTCCAAGACCTTTAATCTGGCCCTCGGCTGATTTTCTACTAAAATATTTTAATGATATTTTTTATTAAAATCTTGTTAATTTTCTGTGGTGTTTATCACAGCAGCGTCTCCAGTGTCTCTGTACGTGGCCCCTCCCACCAGAGCAGCACAAATGAAGACTTGTCTCTTTCCAAACGCTCTTAAAGGACGATCGTTTTGACTGTTGACCGTGACACCCTCATCAGAAAAATGTCCAACATGAGAAAAGTGGAGCCGAGTGCAGAATTTTACAACAAAAATTGACTTATTCCTGTTTACAGACAAGTTCATGTTAAAACATTGGGCTGAAATTGAATTTTTCTTCAAGTTTCAGGTTGTTCATAATATTATAATATTTATAATAAGAAAGAGTTCATCAATTAAAAAAAAAAAAATTCTGTAAAAGATTCGTGTTTCTCTGCACAAATATTTGAACTTATTGTTATTTTTGGGGTTTAAATGACATGAGTTTTCTGATCCGGCCCCTTTGGGATCAAAGTAGGTTGGATACGGCCCCCGGACCAAAATGAGTTTGACACCCCTGGCTTTAGAGGGTTATGACACATAATAACTCTACAAAACAATCATTTCTTTTCCTTTTTGTTACATGATATATACATGCAAAAATAATAAATACATATTCATTGTGTGTCTTCTGTCGTGCATTGGTCATCGTTGTCATAACAGTTTATACTGTTGTCGGACAGGACTCGTCTCAGACTGAAGTTTACCAGCTGAGTCAGGATCATTGTTAAATAATGTGACAGAAACCATTGTATACAGAGTCATGTTTTGCATTCAATTAACCTATAATTTACCTGCTAATTTAAAATAGAAAACCAATGACATCAAATTTAAAAGGAAATTTAAATTATTGTATATTTCCAATCCAATATGTCTCCATTGAAAATGTACTGTATATATTTTATCTGTATGTAACTTATGTGTCTTGTATTCTTTGTTTTTTTGCGTGTAGTTTATATTTTTATATGGACAAGTGTTGAAAACTTGCACTTGTGCTAAAACACTCAAAGCAACACATCTGGCTTGTCTAATGGGATTGTGATGTCCCTAATAAACATAAATAAATACATAAAAATAATGGAATGTTTAAATGCAAGATTGGGAAATTCATATTATAGTTTTTACTATTTTAATAAATTATACACAATATATCTTTAACAAATATAAAAGTTTTTAACCAAAAAATCTCGATAGGTAACCAAATTTAAAATATACAAAAAATATAAATGTGTTAAAGAAAAACATAGTAAACTTTAAGTACACAAAATTGTTAAATAATATTACCTGGCTCATGTTGTTCCTCTGAGGCAGCACCGTCCAAACTGATGTGGTGAACAGGAAGAGGAAATTTATATCTCACCACACCTGTCGTCAGTATCCAGGTGACGCAGGACTCACACGCACTTCTTAACTCTGACACTGTAAGACTCTATGAAGGGGAACTTAACATTTATAAGGTTACAAAAAGTAATAATTTTGTGTATCAATATTGCTCTGTCAATTTTCGCCTGCTTATGCAACAGGTTTCCAAACTTTACAATCCAGGACCCCCAAAATAACCATACAAACGTGTATTTGAACAGGGGCACAGGTGGTCATATAATATGGAACATTTCTCCTCAGTTCATACAGTTCTCAGGTTCTTTCACAGAACACTTGAAACAGCTCAGACAAGATCAGTAAATTCAACTTGTCATCAAAAATCTAACAGCAAAAGATTTCACACGTGTCAAACAGGGAGAAGGATCTGGGGCGTGAGCAGTACTGTACAGACTACACACAGACATACACACTGTGACAGGTGTAAATGTCCTATTTGATCTTCAACAGCACTTCACATATTACAGTATAAAAGGAGTGTTGGTGTATTTTGATGTACTTCACTGTTTACATTTATACCATGGATCTTCCATGATTTATTTTTACATAAAACAATACAGATTTTAGACAAAAAAACCAAACCTTTTCCAATCAAAAATGCAAATGTCCAAAAGTGTGAATCACAAAGAATTCATGTTTTTTTCAAGGTATTTTTGAGCAATAAAAACACCCAAAATAAAATGAAGGTTATATAAATATGTTTAATGCTATACTGCTGAATATTTCAAGCAAAGCAATGAAATCTCCATGGCAACAAGCAGGCATAACGTCCATAACAAGACTGAATTAAAGAAACTTAAGTCAGCTTCAGGTTTATATACAAAGCCTTATATAAAATCCTTGTGTAGTTAGTAGTTTTTATATGCGGACTTTATACTTTTACTCAAGTACAAGTTTCGCAGTAGTACTTGTCTCTGAGTAGATGTTTTGTTATGTAACTGTACTTTTACACAGATTTTCAGTAGTGTTTTCACTATTTGAAAAAGGAAACTAAATGGAAGACAGAAGAGCTGATTTAACCATTGAATATACAGGCTAAAGAAAAAGGAGGAGAGAGAAATGAAGATAGAAAATCAAACCTACACAAAACTATGTTCATGAACTTTTACATGACTAAACACCTAAACTCTGCCCGCAAACACATTTCGGATACAACTGATAAGCTGAGTGGTACCCGGAGGACTCAGGAAGAGAGTGAAAGGAGAGAGGGGCGGGGTTAGGGGGTATGAATAACAGTGCGATGGTCTAACAAGTATCCACACTACAAGCTCCCCCCTATAGGCAGGGATTTGTAAACAGAAACAACTGGCTGTAATCAGGGCAGTCCTGCGTGATGTCACATAGTACTTGATACCACAGCGGCCACTGGAGTTCACACACACTAATTTTTACACATTTTTGGCCAGATTATTTTAGCAATTTTACCTAGTTTGCTCTAAAATTACCACACAAAAAACAAAAAAAAAAAAAAAAAAAGCACTAGAAACAGTAAATAATACTATTAAAGATACACTGTGTAACCTTTTTATTGGGGTTCCACCACCTGCTTGTTTCTATGGAGATGTCACTGCTCTGCCTGGAATGTTCCACAGTATCACTTTAAACAGCTCTACTTTACATTTATTCAAGTACAAGTGGTTTTATAGCTCAAAAATATCTAGAAAAACAGACAGTCTGACTTTGAGCGGGGTCGCCTCTCTACAGATCTGACCTGTAACTTGGTCTGATTTGGTCTCCATGAAGATAGAAATGTTTAATACCATACTGTGAAACATTCCAGATGAAGCAATAACATTTCCATGGTGACCAGAAAAGTTACACAATGCACACCATTAGTTCCATTAGTTTAGTAGCAAATATTTTTTGTGATTTAGTCTTAATAAACAGCATTGAAAACCACTTTGCAGTAGCTAGTATCTTGAGAATACATATTCTTCTTTATAACCTATGTGATATTTTAACATTATTTTCCAAAAAAAAGGCAGTTTAAGCAGTACTCAGCTCCAGGGTCGACTTGGGCTTGGTTCCATATCCAGAAATGTTGGTCCTAGGGATGTTAATAATCTGGCAAAGTTTCATGCTTGTACCTTAAAAGTGAACAATTGGGCACTATTTTGGTCCTTAACAGCTCCACTATATAAACTAAATAAAATAGGTCCTAAAATGCTACCTTTGGAGGACCCCTGTTGGACAGTGAAGGTAGGACGATTTAAAACCAGAGAGGGAAACACTTTGTTGTCTGTGGGACAAATAAGATTCAAACCAGCACAGCGCCTCTTTAGACAAACTAAAATAGGATAATTTAGATAAAAGAATCTGGTGATTTACAGTGTCAAAAGCCTTCTTAAGGTCTAGAAATACTGCTCCCACATATGCGGGTTTGTCAAGAAAACTTTTGACATTTTCAACAACAACAAAAAAAAAAAAAAAAAACAATTTGCAGATTCTGTGGAATGGTGGCTACGAAAACCAAACTGCATTGGGTGTAAAGGTGTAGCGCTTGTGGTGAGATGTTCATTTAATTGTTTGGCCACCCACCTCTCAGCAATTTTGGAGATGGCAGGAAGGATGCTGATGGGGCGATAATTAGACATCTCCAACTCAATACGATTTTTAAATAACTGAAGAAACCACTGCCAACTTCCATGTTGATGTCACAAGACTTTGTCTGAAGGACAGATTCAACAGATGTTTAACTGGTGTGATTAACGCATCTTTGTACAGTTTTAGGAAGTGTGTGTTTAGTTCAGGGGTGGGCAAACTTTTTGGCTCGGGGGCCACATAGGGTTCTAAAATTTGACTGAAGGGCCGGACAGGAGACGGAGCATGACGTGTTCAGAGCCTGGCTCCATTGCACTCGTATTTACTCTCACGTAGGACATATTCTACTACGCGCTGCAAATTTTAGACACGCAAGTTCCAAAACTCATGAAAAGTGAAATGAATTATGCCCCAGTGCACATCACGGGCGAACCTGAGTATTCAGAGAATCTTTGATGAACATTGTCCACCAACAAACAACACCGACGACATGAGTTTACACCCACAACAAGACAAGAGTTTACACGCACAACAAGAGTTCACACGAACAGTCTAACCAAACCTTAAGACGCTTCATTTGTCAATATTTACTATACAGTGAATATGAGTTTACTGACCTTGCCTCTCACTGATCTAATTTGGAAAAAGTGCAGCCTTATGTCTTGAACACTTCTACCCTCACTTATGGTTCAAATACACCGCCCGAAAATGACTCTTGTCATCAGCTAGTCCAAAAGAATACTTTCCCATAAAGCATTGCGGCCAACAGAAGACGCCGCACCTCAATGTATATATACTGCTATTGCATCCATAGATGCAATAGATATTATTGCATCTATGGATGCAATAATATTAAATATTATTTAATATTACACTGGATTATTTAACATTATACTGGATACAGTATTGCTGCTTGTAGCTGCCTCGAGTTGACGTAGTGTCACTCACTGGTTCTACAGCGGAAAAAATCCTATGGGCCGAGACAAGATTTTTTTCATAAAACACAATATAATCACAAACTGCGGAAATGGCAGCCGGTGGCCGCTCTTCGGTAATTATGTTCATATTTTCTAACCTTTTTCGAAGCTAATACTTATAAAATCTTACAAATAACAATTGCTTGACAACATTAATGTAAATGCTTGTACTCGCATTATTGGCGATTTGATAGAAACAACATTAATAGCGCTAGTTAATGCACTGTCATGCGCGCCCACCATAGACCACATGGCCCGCGCAAGTCAACCTGTTGTAAGGAAAACAACCACTAGGGGGCGATAGCCGCTACGGCTAATATGAAATACTGTCAACAAACATGGCAGCGCCCTTCAACGATTTGATTGCATTTTATGTAGTGAAATAGAAAGAAAATACAGTGTTCTATGTCACTTATAGTAGGCTAATAAATATATTTGGTAATTTTACAGGATAGTCAGGCTGAAATAGTGCAGTCACCAAGGCATTTATTACATTTGCTGACTTCGTCTGAAAGACAGTCAAGTGCAGCAATTCAAGCCTCAAAGGTTGTATGGAGGATTTTTTTTTTGTTTCAAGTTGTCAATGATAGCATTATAGAGATGCAGTAGCCTTGTAATTATGATGACCAAAAAAAAGAGAATAAAAATTCATCAACTCTGGACGTGGTGGGGCTAAACATTTGCCAATAGATAACGACACTGCCTCGTTATCTGTTGAGCTGACAGGCTGTCATTCAATCTCCCTACGTTTCTAGTGTAACTGACTTGCCTGCGTGCTGCCGGTACGTGGTTTACGTGTACGCCTGTCATGCAGTCCACAGACGCAAGCCGCACAGACGCTGTTTACTCCACCAACGCAACAGTTCTTAGCGGCTTTTTTTGACCTATATCTTCCTCGCAGTTCGCACAAAGTTTGTTGCAATGGCGACAAGAATCCAGGAGCAGTTCGCCGCAAAAGAAAGTCCGTTTTTGAGGTCGCTGAAAGAAGAAGACAAGGGGAAAAGCAGTGAAGCCAAACTAAGGTGATTCTTATAGATTCATTCCAGCGATGGCGCGACTGAAGCAGACGCAGGGTCTAAAAGACTGACGCACTGGTCCACAAATTACTCCTGGACAGGAAACTTCTGCTTATTATGAAAACGTACTTTATTTCCAAGAGCTACACAAACGTTTTTCAAGGACACGAAAGTGATATCCTATGTCTGAAAACGTAATTTTCAAGGCAAAGAAAGAGTCCACTTGCTGCTGCGTGTTGTAGCTAGTTCATTCGCACGGAATCTCCGCGCAACCTTCTCTGCTCCCCTTTCCTGCTCCTGTCCCCGCTGCCCGTTCCGCTCTTCCCCCTTCTCCTCACTTCTCCAGGCAAGGAATCTCCGCGCACCGCTCCCCTCTCCTCTCTCCTCTCCCTGCTCCGCTCTTCTCGTCCGCGAACGAAATGTTCGCACACTCGCTCCCCCGCTCCTCACTTCTCCGTCTTGTCTAACCAACACTGTAGTTAGTTGTTTACAAGGTCATGTGCAGCAGCACCGGCTGTAAACAAACCTGTTTCTGGCGTAAAGAGGAGGCGGGAGGAGGCGTTTCTACGTAGGAGCTGTAGGGGAGGGGGGGGGGGTTCACACACATGCGCAACATTTGAAAAAGGACAAACAGTCGCTGGATTTCTCGTTCCTTGGAAAATCCTCTATACAACCTTCAAGTCAAGATAACGGGTAGTTGTTCTTAGAAATGATCTCTTTCTGAAATGTTCAAATATTCATTAAAAATATTACGCAGAGTTGATCAACAAGGAGGGATACGGGACCATGACCGTCACTTTGTACCAGCTACTCGGCCTACTCTTCAAACAGAAATGACAAGGTGTGAAATGCTAAATATGTCTTATCTTTATCTTTGGTTATTATAATAATAATTATTATTATGATGTTTACTATTGAAATCTGCTTATCACTCAGCATCTGAGCCCAGTCCATGGACCTTGGGGTGTTGAGAATTTATTTCATGTATTATTATTTTGTAATATTTAAAGGTTTATAGAACCCATTAATTACTAATGATTAATGTCATAAGACCGCAGGTGTTTACAAGGCTTTTATAATCTTTTAATTTATTTTGGTCTTAACTAAATGTATGTTTTGTTTCTTTTTTTCTTTTTCTTTCTCTATTAATTGTTTATTGAATGTTCTTGTGTTCTGTTTTTGTAGAACTTTTCCAGGCCTTTTTACAAAAGGAAAAGGGAAACGACGATTTCCTGCCCCAGTACTTATTCCGGCCAAAAAGTGCAAGCCGCTGGAAGTGTCTTTTTACCTCCTTCCAAAACATTGTGACAGGACACCCAGTGAACTTGAAAAAGTCACACATATGCAAGCAGGATTGGGCCCCAGGACTGCTCATCTAGATGAGAGCATCACCCATGAGGAGGTTAACTATGAAAAGACTCATGTGCACTCACTTCTTATTTTTGTTCTGAATGATGAATTTTGAATATTAAATATTGATTAATTAATGTACTTGCTCTTTCTGTTTACAGCTATGTGATGCCCTCAAAGCTTTATATCCAAAGTTGCGCACACTGTCTGGTGGATGGCTACTTTATAAATCCACAGGTACAAGTTTAATTGAATTGCTTGACAAGGTCTGAATGTTACTAAAAGTATACTGCCCAGTCATTAAGTATATACACTATCTACTTCATATATAATAATCTAAAATGTATGCAATATAAGTATAAAAGTATTGTGTGTTTCTACAGGTGGATGGGGTAGCCGTAAGCTCGCCCTTGTGTCACCCGATGATGCTGGGTGGGTATACAGGCAGATTGTTGAAATCTGCTGCACAAGGGGGTAAAAAACTGTTCATAGTCCCACTTCAGGAGGACCTTGATACAAGTCCACTGGAACTAACTGATGAAGCATTCAAGGGCATGGCAAAGGTCATGTGCCAGAAGTGTGGAGTAGATGTTCCTCTGCAGCTTCTTAAGGATCACGTCAACTCATGCTCAGTCATTGAAATTGATGGTGAACAGCCTGTTGAGGATACAAGTCATCTTGTTGGGGAAAAATGTAGGTTTTGTCTTTACAACTGGAACAAGTCTTAAAGCATAAAGAATTTGATGATGAACGACACTTTTGCCTATTATAATTTTGATTTAAGTGCAACTCCTATCTTTTGTCTTTCCACTGTTAATAGCTGTGTCATGTCCAGTTTGCTTAAAAATGTTTCCTACTGACTGGATACAGGAACATGCATCCACATGTGGAGAAAGGTATTGATGATCTTTTTAGTAAATTGATCCATTATTGTATTGAATGTGATGATGTTTAGTTGCCTTATTTTCAGTCCAGTGACACCTGCAGTCACATCTGCCACAGTGACATCTGCCAAAGTGACCTATGAGGAGGACCATGCAGCCATTGCTGGAACCTCCACATCATCTGCTACTGTTACTGGGGGTAGGTAGTACCACAAATTTTGTCATGCTGTGAATACTTTTTCATTTGAGTGTTTAATGTCTTATTTGGTAATTGTTGTACATTTATAATCAAATCAAATGTACACTATATCGAAATCAGGTATTGCATTGTTTTATGCTTTCCTTCTAGACTGGTTATCTTTGAGTGATCCAAGGGAGGCCATATCTCAATATGCAAAACATTTTCTCCAAAACCATGCAATGGACAGCCCATTAATTCTCAGCATGGATATTAGAAAAAGTCTTACAGAGCAGGACATGGCCCTCATCTCCTTTTATAAGCAAAAAAAATGTGGAATGGGGCCTGTCCACTGAAATGCAGACTTGAAGGTAAAACCTAAAAAGTTAAAGGTTCTTAGAAATGAGTTTGAGTATTTATTTATTTTTTGTTATAGGGGACACAGCTGTAGGACATGGTGTTGCGCGCTTTTACTTTTCCACGTGCATGGAAAAACTCAAGTCAGGTTTTCACATACATTTTGGTATGTTCCAGTTTATCCATTTGGCACCATGCACACATATTCCCATATGGATATAGAATATGAAATATGGATATGGAAACAGAGACTACTAATAAAAGCTTTTGATTTGTTGTGTCCCATCGTTGTTTTCCATAGCAAACTGCAGTGTTACTCGACTTTTTGAAGGGGAGCCAAGTCATCTTGTCCCATCAGCTTCACACTTTCTGGTTGAAAGCGACCTCTTCCTCATGGCGGGGAGGATGATGGGTCACTCCTTCCTCCACGGAGGACCTTGTCTGTCTGGCCTCAGCCCTGCCATTGTTCATGTTCTCCTTGGAGGCACTCCTGAAACGTGTACAGTCACCCTGGAGGACTGTCCTGACTTGGACATCCGTGACACCATCAGGCTTGTATGTTACTCCATCTTTTCACTATTCACCATACCCATTGTTTATTTTTGATGAACTCGATAATGTTTTCATCTGAAACCAAGTTATGGATTAAAGAATACAGCTTAGTTAAAGTTTATGTTCTGATCTGGTACCATCTCTTCAATCAGTTGGAAGGTGAGTCAAACCTGTCTGAGAAGGATAAAGTAGAGATACAGGATTTGGCTTTTGCTTGGGACCTTCCTCCCCTGACTGAGGGCAACCGAAAATGGCTTTTTGAAAAACTTTTAATTCATGCTGTAAGTATTTCTGGTCAAGTAGTACTTTTGAATTTATTGAAAAATTCTATGAACACATGTACATTCCCCTCATTCTCTCTCGAAGGTGATTGGGCGAGTAATAAGACAGATTAAGCAACTCCGCCGGGGACTAAAAGAAACACCAATATGGACCATGCTCACCCAGAGACCAGACACAGTAGATTTGCTCCTCCCCACAGAGGAAGCAGGGATTATCTGCCCTCAGGTGAGTTTGCTGCATACGTTTTTATAATATATTGTCAAAGTATCATGTTAGTCTTGTAGAAATGCTGCATATTTTTTCAGTGTGCCATTTTTAACACAGGTTCTTCTGCAGCGAATCAAATGGCCACAGGCAGATGATGATGATGACTGCCCAGTTGACACCAAATGTCGTGTGTCTGGCTATCTCCGGGAGTTTATCACTACAGGTAGGCTGCTCAAGTGGTATTATTTATAAGAAAAAGCTACAATGGTATACAGGATATAGTATCTCATCATTTCTAATTAAATATTTAAAGGTCATGTACTTCCTCTTTTCTGTAGTAACACCAGCTGAACTGCAAAGCCTAGTCAAATTCTGGACTGGCTGGGAGGTCTTGCCATCGAGTCTGTCTGTAGAAGTGGGAGCAGGAAGATATATTACTGCTTCAACCTGCTACGAGACCCTGCGCATCCCATGTCACTACAAAGATTATGCTGCGTTCCAGAGCGACATGCTTGTTTCTATCTCCACTTGCCACACAGGATTTGGTTTGGTGTGAATTGTTATGTTCTCCTAATGTTAATGTTGAAAAGATATTTTGTCATCTGTTCACATGGAAGCAACTGGTTTGAGTTGCTCAGTCAAGATTTTATTACAAGCTGAGTCAAGGGTTTAGTCTCTCAAATTGTGTTTCTGGTTCTGTCACAGGTTCATTATGAACTGGTTTTGTGCTAACAAAAAATTCAGAAGAACAGTTCGTTTGGATCCTTTTATGATTGTTGTGGACAACTTTTAATAATAAACTTACTTACACACAATACACTTAACATTTAACATGTCAACACACAACACATGACATTTTTGACAAAAAATTAAATGCTATTTATGACAGATTCATTCACAAAGATAGCAAATGCTCACAGTAAAGAACAGCGGCCATATAAATATCACAGCCAAAGGATTGTGATGCTGCCATTGGGTTAAACAGCCTCCTTTAAAGCTGTCAGTTGTTCATCAGTTAGAGGAGAGGACATATCTGGTACCACAATGCCTGCATGCTCATCATGAGGAAGCCCACTGTTTTCCCATTCAATATGGGGCAGGTCCATATCCTAGCAAAAGATAGAACATACTACATGAGCTTTATAGACATTCAAATTTGAATAATTTAAATGTAAAGAGCATGACGAACCTCTGTATGATATGGTCCAGGATTAGAGTGGTGTGTTTGACCCAGAACCCACAGCTGGTTTGGAGTCATGTTGCCTTCAGTTCTCAGTGCGTGGTTATCCCAACCACATCGAAAGGTGTCCAGGTCTTCCTGTAGGCGTGGCAGAAACACGTAGTGGCAACAGAAGAGATGTACAAGACTCCCAATGCTGAGAAAACCGCCCTCTTCAAGGTAGTGGAGAACATCGTAATAGATGCTTGTTACAGTCACCCATAGGTCTCTCCACAGCCTTTCTATGCTGAAAAAAGAAACCATACACTTAAAATATGGTCAATTTAAAATGTATATAAATTGTTTAAGTAGAATTATACATACATAATTACATATAACTTATTTTGTGTACTTCGTATTGCAATAATAAGAAATGCCATTATTTTTTGCTACTTGAACAATAAATTGCCCCGATATTAATCAGTGATAAATGACAAATAATGATATAGTTAAATTAGAATACTTTACTGAAATACACTTGCAAAGAAACTTGCAGATGACTATTTTTCTGAACCATTAAAGCCTGAACAGATAATAAATTCTGATTAAGATCTAGGTTTACACCTACTCTTCTAGTTTTCCAATTTACCGTTGGTTGTGTACACTTTTCCCAGAAATAAAGCTGCTCCTTCCTGTTCCACGGGCTGTGAACATGAGATGGGCAATATCCACGTTTTCCACCCCCTGATCACCACGAACTCTAAAAAATATAGACAAATATTCACATAAATGTTGAAAGAGTAGATCAAGTAGTTTTGAATTAAACAATTAAGTCAAAATTAGAAACAGTATTATGAATGGGAGCATGTACCTTTGAGGAAAACCATACTTGTCAGCTGATCTGTTGAAGAAAGCCAGAGCTGTGGATGCAAGGTTGTTGGAGGATGCACCCAGATACATAATCTGTAGAATACAAAAAAGGTACTTTATTGTCCCCATAGGGAAATTTGTCCTCTGCATTTGACCACCACGCTGAAATGACTATTATCAATCATTTAATTGGTTTATTGTCATTGTGATATTAAATCTCAACGAAATTATGTTTAGAGCAGCACAACAACTGCATATGATTCTCAAACAAGTTGCAATTCTGGACTAATAAGCTTACCTTACGGGAAAACCCATCAATCCCTCCAAATATGACAATATTATACCTATGATATAAAATAAAGAATGTTAAAAAAACAAATGCAGCAGTATACTAATAATGTTGTAATGTAAAAAGAATACCGGATCAACTTATGGTTCGTATCAATATGCATCAGGAAGTGGGGTCCTGGAACAGAGTAGGTACGGCGATTGATGCAGCCCAGGTTAAGTGTTCGAGATATGACTCCATTGGTGTCGACACGGTGCATGGAGGCTCTCACACGCTCGTACTGCACCCTCAGTCCTCTGGCTTGCAGAAGAGCCTTCACCATTCTATATCCAGAGTGAGGCTGCCTGGATATTACCTCTCTCACACATTGGTCCAGTTCTTCGTCTGTCAAGGTGCAGTACTGTGATCTCACTGAGAAACCAAAGTCGCCCATACGCCTGTATAGTGTGCTCCTGGAGATTCCCATGAGTTTGGCTATAGATGGCACAGACAAGTTCAGTTCAAGTAGATGTAGGAGGTGGTCTGAGGACACCACCATTCTTTGTCGCCCAGCTGGTCCTTGTTCAAACTGTACTACTCGAGCATGTGCTCTGTTTCTTTCCTTTTCATGATTCACCAGAGTGTGCAATTCAGTTAATGCATTTAATATTTCTGCAGATATGGGTACCTGACTAGACAGAGCATGCAAGAAAACAAACTCCTGGGTGCAAGTGAACTCCAAAAAGTCCAAATCCAAAGGAATACGCTCCAGAATAAGCTCCAGGCGAGACTGAAGTCGTCTCAAAACTTGGTTCAGGAGATCCTGGTAGACATAAAACAACCACTTATTTAAACATTTGTAGCTTTTTACATTGGGCATAATGAAGGTAAATATGTAATCATGTGTTTCAGACAAACAATTCCTTCCAGATTTGAAGGACTTTGTGAGGACCTTTCTCCTATTGAAAAGATATAATATTTTAATTTAAATAGCTTTATTTCTATAACCATGAAGGATGGTTGCCATATCTTGAAACCCATGAATAATTAAAGTACACTGTAATCTGTTGATGCATAAAGGAAACAAGAAATTCTCTGTCTTTGCTGCTGAAATCGAACGCTGTCTCACAACAAATGAATGGTGAAGCAAATCCCTGTTATCTTGACTTGAGGCTTGAATTGCTGCACTTGATTGTCTTTCAGACGAAGTCAGCAAATGTAATAAACGCCTTGCTGACTGCACTATTTCAGCCTGACTATCCTGTAAAATTACCAAATATATTTATTAGCCTACTATAAGTGACATAGAACACTGTATTTTCTTTCTATTTCACTACATAAAATGCTATCAAATCGTTGAAGAAGGGCGCTGCCATGTTTGTTGACAGTATTTCATATTAGCCGTAGCGGCTATCGCCCCCTAGTGGTTATTTTCCTTACAACAGGTTGACTTGCGCGGGCCATGTGGTCTATGGTGGGCGCGCATGACAGTGCATTAACTAGCGCTATTAATGTTGTTTCTATCAAATCGCCAATAATGCGAGTACAAGCATTTACATTAATGTTGTCAATCAATTGTTATTTGTAAGATTTTATAAGTATTAGCTTCGAAAAAGGTTAGAAAATATGAACATAATTACCGAAGCCAGCGGCGTGACCACCGGCTGCGATTGCAAATGCCTCAGTATCCCGGATGTTGGCTGGGTCATTTTTTTTCATCGTTTTTTACAATGCCAACAGTCGTATTTGAGGGTTTGAAAAAAAAATACATCCAATATTTTATAGATGATTTTTAATTTAAAAAAATTGAAATTTTAAACACATTAAAAACTATAGACTGAAATTTCAGTGCTTCAAATACAGAAGGAAAAAAAATTCAGATGCTCTTTTTCAGAGTAAAATAATTCACAAAGACAAATTCAGAGCCGTTTAAAATTCAAATTCTGATGGAACAACTTATCTTCCATATGTGCGGCCTTAAAAACCGCTCCGCAGATCTTGAATTAATTATAACAATAAATCTTAATGATGTTGTATTTTTCTTGCATTTCCGGTGTTTCTAGTAGATGGCGCCCTATCAAGCCCCCAGGTTCCAAAATGGCCGACCATTCAAGTCAATGGGCTGAGCTCAATGGCGCATGATCCAACATTAGCCTTTAGCCTGGCTAGGTACTTCCGGTTAAAATTCAAATTCTGATGGAACAACTTATCTCCCATACGCACACCCTGCACAGGCGCATATCCGAAGCACGCAGATCTGATCTTAAATTGATACAACACACGTAAGCAGTTCACTTTTGTTGAACCAATACATCATACAATATATTGTCTTTTACACGTGCCACTCTTCTTACCCAACGATTTTTAAGTTACACATGTGCTTATTTTATTGCACACGGATATAAAGTAATTAGTGCCATATTATATCCTGAACACTTCTACCTCATTCATGGTCCGAATACACCGCCGGAAATGACTCCTGTCAATACTTTCCCATAAAGCATTGCGGCCAACAGAAGACGCCGCACCACCTGTATATATAGTGCGCCATCTACTGGGAAACGCCGGAAATGCAGAAAAATAAAACATTAACAAGGTTTATTATTCTAATTAATTCAAGTTCGGCGGGCCGGATTAAAAGGTTTAAAGGGCCGCATACGGCCCCCGGTGTCGTCATTTGCCCATCCCTGAGTTAGAGGTTTAAAAGCACGTCTAATAGACCGGAAAATACGGTAAATAATTTTTAAATGGATTTACAGATTTACACATATTTTGGAACCTGTGGTCAGTCTGAGTGTTCATTTTTCTGTTTGGAAGTTTGATTTTCAACAAAAAGGTGACTGTAATTTTGTGTGTGACAGATTTATTAAACAGCATTGTAGTTCCAGTTAAATCAGTTGTTCATGGTCAGATTATGATTAAAGATGAAGTTAAAATCTAACAGAGCTTCAGACAGAGCAGTGCCTGCAGTTATCTTGAAATATTCAAAGTGTAAATTCACAAATGTTGAACTTAATCGTTTTTAGCTTAAAGCACCAAACTGTTTATTGTCTAAAACAGGGATGGGCAAACTACGGCCCGGGGGCCATATGCGGCCCTTTAAACCTTTTAATCCGTCCCTCCGAATTTGAATAAATAATAATAAACCTTGTTAATGTTTCATTTTTCCTGCATTTCCGGCATTTCCCAGGAGATGACGCACTATATATACATAGAGGTGCGGCGTCTTCTGTTGGCCGCAATGCTTTATGGGAAAGTATTTACAGGAGTCATTTCCGGCGGTGTATTCGGACCATGAATGAGGTAAAAGTGTTCAAGACATAAGCCTGCACTGTTTCCGCTTTAGTTTGGTAACACTTAAAATCTTGAAACTCATATGCACTGTATTAAAATGACTCAACGGTTTGGCCAGACTACACGTCAATATTGGCTTAATAACCTGAAGGAGCACGGTCTACGTGCTCGGGTGGGGAAATCTCTAGACCCCCGTTTCAAAAAGGCCGCCCATTCAAGTCAATGGGCTGAGCTCAATGGCGCATGATCCCAGATTAGTCTAGCCCGGCTAGGTACTTCCGGCGGCTGTGGGCCGACCGAGCATGCGCACTAGTGCTCTTTTCTCCCACGGGCACACGTGAATGCACGCAACCGCACGCACGATGCGTGAGCTCGTGTGTCACGTGATCGCTTTGACCAATCAGAGCGAGANCATGGCTTATGCGCCAAAACACAAATTATAGGCAGGCTGTGTCAGTAGAGGTCCGTGTAGCAATTTGCATTTGGAGATTGTCTACTAACCTGGAATACAGGTCCATTTCACACCTGTTTGCTGTAGGCTTGTCAACGTGTTGTCAAATTACACAAGAGGTTGTAACTGCCATAAATGCCATTTTAAAGCCAAAATATTTGAAGCATCCCTCTGCAACTGAATTTAGGCTGATTGCACAGGGGTTTCGAGACCGATGGCGGTTCCCTCAAGTGGCAGGGGCAATTGATGGCACACACATAAAGATTAGAGCCCCACCTGACAGTTCTTCTGACTATTTTAACAGAAAGGGGGATTACTCAATTATATTGCAGGCTGTAGTGGACCATAAAATGAAGTTTTGGGACATAAATGTTGGAAGACCAGGCAAGGTCCATGATGCTCGTGTTTTCTCCCTCTCATCTCTATATGAGCAGGGCAGCGCAGGAACTCTTTTACCTCATTACACTGAGATGTTTGAGGGGATAGATGTCCCACTTTTTCTTTTGGGTGATTCTGCCTATCCGCTGCTAAACTGGTTGATGAAACCTTATCCAGAGGGTACAGGGGTAACACCACAGCAGATGAATTTTAACAACAGGTTAAGTCAAGCCCGAATGACTGTTGAGCGCACCTTTGGTCGCCTAAAAGGCCGTTGGCGCTGCCTTTTAAAAGAGTGTGAAGCTCACATCACATTTGTAAGTCGTATAGTGTCTGCTTGCTGTGTGCTTCATAATTACTGTGAAGAACATAATGAGGAATTTCTAGAGGGAGATTGTGCTACAGTAGAGGAAGAGGGTGTTGGTTATCAAGAAGAGGTGAATGCACAACAGCAGCCCAATAACATCAGAGATGCGTTATGTCAGTATTTTTCTACATTGTGAATGTACAAACCAGTGCAAGTTTTGACCAGTGCAAGGAATTAGTGATGTTCTGAGGAATCTATTGTAATTAATGCAATGTTACCAGACTTTTAAACTGTTACAACTGTTAAGATGTTATCGTTCATTATCCTGAAGGCTGTACATCTAGTTTTAGGTAAATTTTTAGGATGAGTAAATGAAAACACTTTTAGTTCAAAACACTGTTTATTGTCTTGCAACAAAAAATATAGGCATAATGGTATATTCTTTTATATGCGAAGATGTGCAAACTTCTTTCATTTTAAAATATTATGTTCCTTTTTAAATAACAAAATAAAATATACCAATACTTTTGAGAGGTGTCTTTCACATTAGGCTGTTGAAGAAAACAAATACAACTTTAACTTCAAACAACAAGAAATAAATAACTTGCACCTCAAACAAGAAAGAAACAACTTTCACTGCAAAACCAACTTGCAACTCAAAAACATGCGCTTCACATAAATACCAGTCTACAATGGGTGCAGTTGTGTGTTAGCATCACATAAGATGGATGAAACGCTGTGAATATCTTGCTGGGAGGTGGAAGAGTGTGGTGAGGATATGGTGGGGTAGGAGGTAGAAGGGTATTGTCGGGCAGGAGGATATGAGTGAATCACAGGCTGCTCGACAGTAGGCTGTGGTTGCTGATATGCCTGTGACGGGTGATGTGGTTGCATGGGCCATGTTGTACTGTTCCAAGCGGGTACTGTGGATGAGTGATGTTGTTGAGAATTTACCAGAGTGCTCAAAAGCTGCAACATCATCTGGTTAGTGGCCTGTTGTTGCACCTGCATAGCCTGGAATCGCCGTTCCTCAGCTTCCTGTTGAGCCTTCAGCAATTTTTCAAAGGAAGCAGCCTCCTGATCCATCCGTCGTTGCTCCGCCCCCTGAATGTCGTGCAGCATCTTCTGGGTCTGTGCCAAGTATTCCACAACCTCGTCATCTCTGTTAGACTTGGCTTTTCTTTTCCTGGCCTGTGCTCCAGGAATGGGTAGCTTCCCTCCCCCTGAATCTTTCTCTTCAGTATCTGTGCTCTGTACCTCAGATACATTTGACAGATCAAGGGTGTTGCCAGAGTCTTCCACTGTAAAAGATAAAGGATGTAAATGAGAGGTCAACATGAACTTGTGTGTGTGCGTTAATAATAATAATAATAATGTCATTGATATTGAGGTTGGTATATAGTGCTGCCAGTTGTACTTGAAGATACATTCTCTTGCACCTTCCTGTTTTTTTTTATCCACACTGCCTCTTAACATGTAACATGTCGTAACAAAATCACTCTGTAATGGCACACAATTATATCTCCCTCTGCCTTTGGGTAGCATGTATGTTTGTATGGATGCCATAGGGCAGTACAGAGTAGTATGTGTATTTGTATGGCATAGTGTAGGGTAGTATAGGGTATGTCTAGTATGTTTGTTTGTTTGTGTGTTTTTTTTTGTCTGTGTGCCTTGATATGTATGATACTGTAAGTATTTATCTAATCTATTTATCTTATAACATGAAGGCTAGGCTTACGGTTGGCTTGAGTCTATAGTAAATGAAAGAAGCACAAAACATCCTAAAACACTGCAACGGGGTGTTTTTTGATTATTAATTGCACAAATGCTCACCTTTAGGTGTTATTATTATCTACATTATGCCATGCTTAGCCTACTCAAATAGAACAGTAGGACTATTAAGCAAAGTGGGAAAAAAAAGACTCACCATCATCAACATCTGGGTCACTTGGAGGGGTTAAATCCGATGAGGCAGTAAGTGATACCGGCATAGGCTCACGTTCATCATTTTCTACTACATCCACTGGATCGACGACTGGCTTCGTGCCCAATATTTTGTCGAGTTCATCAAACCAGATAAATTTGTCCTTTTCTTTTCCGCTACTTCCCGTTTTCTTCAGTTTATCACGCACCTGTATGTATTTCTGTCGAAGTTTTTTTACTTTAATACGGCACTGCTCTGGAGACCGATTAAAGCCCTTCTCCCTCATCTGTTTGCTAAAAATCGCAAATATTTCAATATTCTTGTGCGTTGACGATAGTTGTTGATTGATGTATTCGTCTGCCCAGATGTCCACGAGGGCTTGAATTTCTTCAGTGGCCCACGTGTTGCCCCGGTTCGCGGAGGTTCGCCCCATATTTTCTTCTTTCACCACAAACAGGAAATGAAATAATATAGGATCCCCTCCCATGATGCATTTCGAATAGTCCGTTTGGACCTACAGTCTGTGGTTAGGACCCTGGTTCGCGTTCACACCGGAGGAACCGCACCGGATTCAAGCGAACCGAGACCACCTCTTTTTTGCGGTCTCGGTCCGCTTGATTTGGTTCGGGTCCGAGTCCGATTGACGCTTTCACACCAACGCAAACGAACCGAACTAACCACTTTTGGTTCGAATGGACCGTTTGGTGCGCACCAAATACTGTCGGTGTGAAAACGCCCTTAGACAGTCGTATTTGAGGGTTTGAAAAAAAATACATCCAATATTTTATAGATGATTTTTAATTTTAAAAAATTGAAATTTTAAACACATTAAAAACTATACACTGAAATTTCAGTGCTTCAAATACAGAAGGAAAACAAATTCAGATGCTCTTTTTCAGAGTAAAATAATTCACAAAGACAAATTCAGAGTCGTTTATAATTCAAATTCTGATGGAACAACTTATCTTCCATACGCACACCCCTGCCACAGGCTTATATCCGAAGCACGCAGATCTGATCTCAATTTGATGTAGATCTGACCTTAATTTAATACAGTATACTTAAGTAGTTTGCTTATATTGATACCAAAAAATAATATAATGGCATGTCTCCTAAACGTGCTACTTTTCTTACTCAATAATTTTTATATTACACATGTGCTTGTTTATTTGCACACGGATATTAAATAATTAGTGCATTATTATAACCTGAACACTTCTACCTCATTCATGGTCCGAATACACCGCCGGAAATGACTCCTGTCAATACTTTCCCATAAAGCATTGCGGCCAACAGAAGACGCCGCACCACCTGTATATATAGTGCGCCATCTACTGGGAAACGCCGGAAATGCAGAAAAATAAAACATTAACAAGGTTTATTATTCTAATTAATTCAAGTTCGGCGGGCCGGATTAAAAGGTTTAAAGGGCCGCATACGGCCCCCGGGTCATCATTTGCCCATCCCTGAGTTAGAGGTTTAAAAGCACGTCTAATAGACTGGAAAATACGGTAAATAATTTTTAAATGGATTTACAGATTTACACATATTTTGGAACCTGTGGTCAGTCTGAGTGTTCATTTTTTCTGTTTGGAAGTTTGATTTTCAACAAAAAGGTGACTGTAATTTTGTGTGTGACAGATTTATTAATCAGCATTGTAGTTCCAGTTAAATCAGTTGTTCATGGTCAGATTATGATTAAAGATGAAGTTAAAATCTAACAGAGCTTCAGACAGAGCAGTGCCTGCAGTTATCTTGAAATATTCAAATATTCAAAGTGTAAATTCACAAATGTTGAACTTAATCGTTTTTAGCTCAAAGCACCAAACTGTTTATTGTCTAAAACAGGGATGGGCAAACTACGGCCCGGGGGCCATATGCGGCCCTTTAAACCTTTTAATCCGTCCCTCCGAACTTGAATAAATAATAATAAACCTTGTTAATGTTTTATTTTTCCTGCATTTCCGGCATTTCCCAGGAGATGGCGCACTATATATACATAGAGGTGCGGCGTCTTCTGTTGGCCGCAATGCTTTATGGGAAAGTATTAACAGGAGTCATTTCCGGCAGTGTATTCGGACCATGAATGAGGTGCTCAAGACATAAGACTGCACTAATTCTAATTAACGTGTGTAAATAGACATTCTGAAGGAAACTGTCTCTCATCTTGTGAAGCATTAAATATGTAATAAAGTCTCTGCAGTTACTCCATGTGACAGAGACTTATGTATCACGTGTTAACATTTGTTATGTGCTGTTATTCAGTGAAGATTGAACCTCTGTCATGTGATATATGCAGATGGTGATGGGTGTGTGAGCTGGTGCCTGCTGACCTTATACAGCCAAACAAACTGACCCGCAGAACTTGACTAAATAATAATAAACTTTATTGCTGTTTTATCTTTCTTGCATTTCCGGCGTTTCCCGGTAGATGGCGCACTATATATACATAGAGGTGCGGCGTCTTCTGTTGGCCGCAATGCTTTATGGGAAAGTATTAACAGGAGTCACTTCCGGCGGTGTATTTGGACCATGAATGAGGTAAAAGTGTTCAAGACATAAGTCTGCACTGTTTCCGCTTTAATTTGGTAACAATCAAAGTCTTGAAACTCACATACGCCATATTAAAATGACTCAACGTTTTGGCTAGACTACACGTCAATATTGGCTCAATTACCTCTAGGAGCGCGGTCTACGTGCTCGGGTGGGGAAATCTCTAGCCCCCAGATTTCAGAATGGCCGCCCATTCAAGTCTATGGCCTGAGCTCAATGGCGCATGATCCCAGATTAGCCTAGCCCGGCTAGGTACTTCCGGCGGCTGTGGGCCGACCGAGCATGCGCACTAGTGCTCTTTTCTCCCACGGGCACACGCGAATGCACGCAACCGCACGCACGATGCGTGAGCTCGTGTGTCACGTGATCGCTTTGACCAATCAGAGCGAGAGGAGCTAAAGCGGAGCAGAGCGTAGCCGAAGCTAACGAATATAAACTGTTTTTTAAGACAACTGAAGGATTTTGAGCTGAGAAAAAGTGTAGGATCTAAAAATAGGTAAAAATTGCCACAAAATCTGACATTTTTGAAAGCTGTAGGTGACCTGTGAGCCGAACACGAGCAGTTTGTGATTATATTGTGTTTTATGAAAAAAATCTTGTCTCGGCCCATGGGATTTTTTCTGCTGAAGTTCCAGTGAGTGACACTACGTCAACTGGAGGCAGCTACAAGCAGCAATACTGTATCCAGTTAATTTAATAGATCCATGGACAAACCTAAGCCCCCGGGTTCCAAAATGGCCGCCCATTCAAGTCAATGGGCCAAGCTCAATGACGCATGATCCCAGATTAGCCCAGCCCGGCTTGGTACTACTTTTTTTAAATTTATTTTTGACAAGTCTGATGTCTTATTTTAGGGACTGTCGCTGTGTATTAAACGTCAAAAATACAATAAACAAAGTGTTGAAAAAAAGAAAAAAGAAATAAAGCTTTCCCATGCAGCACTCGGACTCGTCAGCAGAGGGCGCCGTTGTCTCGTTAATGCCACTTCATGTTTTGAATTGTTGTGTCTCTGAGGAGCCACTAGAGGTCGCTGTGGGATCATGGCTCAGTTTTGGCCTGACGCTTTTATCACTGAAAACTCCATCCACATCCGTCACGCAAACTCCTAATGAAACAGTTTTTGTTTATTTTATTAAAATGTGAAAGAGAAACCAGGTCTAAACCAGGACTAAACCAGGTCTAAACCAGGACTAAACCAGGTCTAAACCAGGTCTAAACCAGGACTAAACCGGGTCTAAACCGGGTCTAAACCAGGACTAAAACAGGACTAAACCAGGTCTAAACCAGGACTAAACCAGGGCTAAACCAGGACTAAACTAGGGCTAAAACCAGGTCTAAACCAGGTCTAAAACAGGACTAAACCAGGACTAAAACCAGGTCTAAACCAGGTCTAAACTAGATCTAAACTAGATCTAAACCAGGTCTAAACCAGGTCTAAACCAGGACTAAACCAGGTCTAAACCTGGTCTAAACCAAGACTAAACTAGGTCTAAACCGGGTCTAAACCAAGACTAAACCAAGACTAAACCAGGTCTAAACCAAGACTAAACCAGGTCTAAACCAGGACTAAACCAGAACTAAACCAGAACTAAACCAGGACTAAACCAGGTCTAAACCAGGTCTAAACCAGGACTAAACCAGGACAAAACCAGGTCTAAACCAGGACTAAACCGGGTCTAAACCAGGACTAAACCGGGTCTAAACCAGGACTAAACCGGGTCTAAAACAGGACTAAACAAGGACTAAACCGGGTCTAAAACAGGACTAAACCAGGACTAAACCAGGTCTAAATCAGGACTAAACCAGGGCTAAACCAGGACTAAACTAGGGCTAAAACCAGGTCTAAAACAGGTCTAAAACAGGACTAAACCAGGACTAAAACCAGGTCTAAACCAGGTCTAAACTAGATCTAAACCAGGTCTAAACCAGGTCTAAACTGCTGAGTCAATGTTCAAAACAGAAATAAATAAGTCATGTTTCCAGAGAGCGACCGAGGCCTCGTGTTATATTTGTGCGTCTGTTATTTGTGGTAAACGTGAGCTGAAGTCATCGCTGTCATGAGCTTTAACTTCGACCTCGACCCGTGTTTTGGTTTCGGATCATTCGGCAAAACAGGTGACGCCAGGAAATGTGTTTCTGCTTCCTGTCATGGGACGTTTTAAATCAGAGTTATTCTAGTTTCAGGTTTTACTCACCAGGAGTTGAGTCTGGAGGAGTTTATGAGTGTTTGAGTCGCTTTAATGGCTTATTTTTATTTTTAATTTGCGCTGAGTCGTCGTTTTGGTCCAAATATTTTAAAAAATGCTCTAGTCTAGTGGGATGTGCAGCGAGTCTCACTATGTACTCTGTAGGAGCAGGACCTGGGCACTCGAGCAATAGAGGCCCAGATCTACCACACCAGACAAGACCCACGGTGTAGACTGTGCAAAGAGGCTCCTGAGACAGTCCAGCACAGAACTGCGGGGTGTAAGATGCTGGCAGGGAAAGCATACATGGAGCGACATAACCAAGTGGCGGGCATAGTGTACAGAAACATCTGTGCAGAGTACGGGCTGGAAACCCCAGGATCAAGGTGGGAAACACCTCCAAAGGTTGTGGAGAATGACCGAGCCAAGATCCTGTGGGACTTCAGATACAGACTGACAGGAATGGTGATGGCGAACCAACCAGACATAGTGGTGGTGGATAAGAAACAGAGCAGAGCCGTGGTGGTTGACATCGCAATACCAAGCGATGGTAATATCAGGAAAAAGGAACACGAGAAGCTAGAGAAATACCAGGGGCTCAAGGAAGAGCTGGAGAGAGCCTGGAAAGTAAAGGCATCAGTGGTGCCTGTGGTGATCGGACACTCGGGGCTGTAACCCCCAAACTGGAAGAGTGGCTACAACAGATACCGGGAAAAACAATGGAACATCTCAGTCCAGAAAAGTGCAGTACTGGGAACAGCAAAGATACTGCGCAGAACTCTCAAGCTCCCAGGCCTCTGGTAGACGACCCGAG